GCTGGAGCGCCTGCTCTGTCGCAGGCGTCGGAGAGTTCTGCCTGGGGCCTGGTGTCCACATCTACCAAGAGTTTACACTTTTGTCGTGTTTGCTTCTGACTGCTTTTCGAAGAAATAAAACCTGGGTTGCCCGGGAGCCCCCTGTGGAGCTGTCCTTCCCTTCCTTGAGGCAGCCGGGACTCTGAAGGCGACCGGATCCCTTCTCGTCCTTGTTTGGTCACTGGGCGAGCATTCCCGAGCGCCCAGCCTGTGCCGTGCCTGCTCTAGGCCCGGGGGAGACGCAATGCCGCCGACAGACAGACGGCACCTCCCGCCTTCGTGTGGCTTTTGCTCACGTGTGTGTGTCCGTATGCCGTGAATCTCTCTGTATGTCATCTTCAGATTCCGCAGCAACGGGCACATCCCACTGCTGAGCCCTTCAGTCAGCTTGGTTTCCAGGGCTTTGTTTTGCCGACCCCCGAGGACGTTTTGTTAACCCGAACTCCGTTGCAGCTGTCGCACAAACAAGCTGGGTGCACTCCTCTGTGGCAAAACGTTTGGGTGGTCTCCGTTCTTTTGTCTTGTGAACGGCGCTGCAGCGAGCCCATCCTGCCGCATGTCTGCACGCCGTGTGCGGTTTCTGTGGGATGCGTGGTGGAGGGGCGTGCTGGCCGGTAGGCGCTCAGCATGCTCAGCTTTGCGGGACATCGCCACGCGGTCTCCAGTGACAACTCTTAATCACCTTGTCCAGCGTTCCTGTAGCAGAGGCAGGGCCTTGAGGGGTGGGACCAAGGACAAGCCAGTCTGGGCTGTGTGCAGGGCAGCACCCTGTGGCAGCAGGCCTGGGGCCAGCACCGCTGGGGGTGGGCTGGGTTCTCACTGCAGGGCTGGGGGGAGGGTGAGGAGGGAGTCGGGAGCTAGGAGAGGTGAGTGGGCGGGTGGGGCTCTGGGAGGATGGGGCGCCCCACCTCACTGTGGGGGTAGACCTGGTGGCTCTGCTGACAGTGATAAGCAGGAGGGAGGCAGTCAGAGGGCTGGCCTGGGTTCTGAACCCCCTGGTGCAGTGATGAGAGCCTCCCCTGCAGGTGGTTCTGCCCCAGTTGTTGTGTTTCCTCGGGCAAAGCACTGCCCTTCTCGGGCCTCAGTCTTCTCACTCCAAGTCCAGCTGGGGCAGGAGGTCTCCCAGGTCCCCATCATCCCCATATGCCCAGATGTTCTTGGCAAGTGGCCGTGGCTTCCTGCCCTGGCCCTGCAGGTGGAGGCACTGGCTTGGCAGGCTGCAGTTTGCAGCTGGCATGTGGCAGTTGGGTGCTCGCCAGGGTGAGGGCCTTGCCAAGGGGGATCCGAAAGGGCCTAGAGGCAGTGGGGAACCCCAGACTCCTCTGTGCCCCTCCTTCCTTATGATCCTGTGCTGAGAGCCAGGGACCTTGGAGGGCTCCAGCCTCTGCCCAGAGGTAGGGAGTGGGCTTGTTCTTTACTATGTGAGTTTAATTTGATCGTATTTACTGTCAGTGTGGACTCATGGATTCTTATTTTATCCAGTGAGAGAGACCGTGGGGGAAAGGAATGGGATGCGAAGAAGCACCCCCCCCCTTGGGGGAGAGGTTTGAAGAGAGTGCCCCAGGGCAGTGGTAGCTGGGGGTGGGGAGGGGCTGCAGGAGGTGGGGTTCGTGGAGACCCGGTGACCCAGGCCCTCTTCCTCTGCCCGAGAGGTTCTGGACGCACACCCGGACTGCGGTCCCACCTATCTCCTGTGTGAGCCCCGTCAGGTAACTTAGTTCCTCTGTGCCTCAGTTTTCTCATCTGTAGGATGGGGCTGTGAGCATCTGCCCGCAGGACGTGTGAGGATTCACTGAGCGCCAGGCATGCAGGTCCTCCCAGGCCATGGAAGAGGGCCAGGAGGGCAGTTGAGGCAGATGCTGCACCGCCCACTACTGGACGCTTGTGTCACCCTGGGGAGACCCTGTGGAGCAGACCCGGAGGCCCCGCTTTGGGACTCCCCAGTGGCCATGCTGACGGTTGGGCGGCAGCACAGAGGGGCCCTGCGGGCACTTGGTGCGCCACTGCGGCACTGCCCTGGGGGCAGTGACAGCAGTGGGTGCTAACGCCAGGCCAGGTGCTATGCTTGTGGCCCGGGGCATCCCCTTGACTCCAGACCCTTGCCCACGTGGCCTTGGGCATGACACAGTGGACGGGCTGGAGGGGTGGCCGAGGGAGACAGGCGGCCTGTGGCCACACCCCTGCTCTGCCCCTGACTGACTGTGTGACCTGGGTGAAGCCACTTAAGCTCTCTTGGCCTCAGGTCCTCATCTGTGTACGGAGTTGAGCCGATGATCCTGACCTCAGACGGGTGTGCTGTGACATCCTCGGGTAACAGCGGGGGCTAGACGCTCTGTGGCCTTCGCCAGCATCGCTGAGCTCTGCGCAGCCCCCCACACTCCCTCCAGCCCCCACTCCTCTTGTGGTTGTAAGAGTGTCACACCCAGCTCAGGCCATGGTCTGGCCTCGGTGCCTGTGACTCGCATTCCAGCTGACAGAGCTGTGCTCACCTCAGTCTTCCTTCGCCAGCCAGACGGAGCCTGTGAGATGGGCCTAGGGTGTCCCGGGGGCCACTCCACGGACCTCGTACCCTCTTACAGGAACATTGCTCAAGAAACTCTTTAACCTAAGAGTTTCTCCCTGCTGGAGAACAATTAACTCCCTCTCCTGCCCCCGCCTCTGCCCCCCGGCCTCCCTCCTCCTGCAGCCAGGTGGCTCACCCTCACCTCCAGCCAGCCGCCTCCTCTTGTCCATCTGTCTCCCCAGATGGGGGAGAAATGTTGCAATTGGCCCACTTTCTAACTGGAAAGCAACCATATGGAGGGCTTAGCTGGAGCTGAGTGTCTGCCTGGAGGTCATTAGTGCCAGGCCAGTGCATGGGGTCTCCTGCTGACCCAGGACTGAGGGGCTCCATCCTGCCTAGGGACCCACACTCCTTCTCCCCTCTTCTTCTCCATGAGCTCCTGGTAACTGTGCTGTTCTCTGGAGCGTGGCAGTTCTTTGGGTGTCTTAGGAGAGGAGTGAGGAGCTTGGTCTACCTGGAAGAGCAGAAAGTAAGAGAGGTGGGTGCTGGTCAGCCTGGGGGCAGGGACTGTGGCCACCTTGCCTGCTACAGAGGAGCAGTGGGCTCACCTCCTGGGGACAGGGGTGTGAGCGTGTGTATGTTGTGGGGCCCCAGGCCCAGCAGGCGCCTGGCACGGAGTAGCTTCCTTCTCCTCCCTGTGCCTTGTTCTCCCCAGAATGCCTCCCACTGGCTGCTTACACCTCTGACCTCTAAGACCCAGCTCAGGGTCACCACCTTTGGGCAGCCTTCCCTGGTTGCCAGCTATGCTCATGGGTAGAGGCCCTTTTTGGGTGGAGCCGGGTGTTGGCACCTTTCCCCATGGGGCTGCAGGTGGGTGGTCTTCCCCTGCACTGTGAGCCCTTTGCAGCCGAGGCCTCAGCACAGAGGTGCAGGGAGCCTGCGCAGAAGCCGCAGGGGGCCCCAGTCTGCACCAGGAGGCCATCTGCAGGCCCAGGGATGCTCAGCCAAGGTGGATGGTTTGAGTCGTCGGCTGGGCCCCAAAGGGATCCTGTTTGAGCTGTAGCTGGGCCAAGGCCCTTGAGTGGGACCCTGAGGTGGGGAACGGTCTTAATGAAGAGTCTGGCTTCACTAAGAATGATCCCTCACGCGTTCCCATCAGCTGAGCCCCGACTCTGCTATCAGAGGCCCTGGGGGTCTAATTTCCTGGAGGGGAGTACTCTCTGCACCCAGTAGGGCTGGGAGCTGTGTGGCTTTGGGCAAGTCATTTCTCTTCTTTGAGCCTCCGTTTCCCCGTCTGTCAAATGTGGTTGATGACAGAAGCAGTGGCCCACAAGTGCTTTTGTACCAGGGATCGGGGGAGGTTTAAATCCATGAGTGACCCCTGTCCCTGGCCAGCACTGGAGAGACAGGTCTGAGCGTGGCAGAGTGATGCCGGAGGCCCCAGGGTTTCTGTGAGCCGCCCAGCCTGGGTGTGCACCCGGCTCCGTGTGCTGAGCTGAGTGCATCCCGAGGCTCCTGCAGTCTCAGCGCTGCTGGGTTTCTGCAGCAGAGCGAGTGAGAGGCAGGCTGGCCCTGTGTCCCCTCCCCGAGGCTCTATCCAAGTAGGCAGGGAGCCCTAGTGACAGAAGGGCTCCCAAGGACCCCCTGACCCCAGTCAGAGCTCCCGAAGCACTGCCTGCCCTTAGAATGGCCTTCCCAGGCTCTCTTGAGCTCCCCACTGGGAGTCTCATCACAAACAAGGCGGGTGGAGGTTGAGGGGTCAAGGCACTGTGCTGGGCGGGGTGGGAACCGGGGAGCCTGCACACTGCAGGCCTGTGAGTGCCCAGAAAGGGACCTGGGAAGACCTGGGCCCAGAATGTGTGGGCCCAGCCAGCAGCCGTGCACGCTGCTCCACCTTCGGGGCCTGCTGATGAGCCCTGGGCCTGGGGACGAGAGCCCTGGGAGGTGGCAGGGCGGAGGGCACTGATGGCCCATGGCGGGCAATTTGCTCTCATTCTCAGATTCACTCTAAAAAACCTTATGGTTTGGTTACAATGAAGATAATCAGTGTTTACTAAGCACTTGCTGTGTGCCAGATATTGTATTTACCTGCGCTAACTCACTTAGCTTTATAACAACCCTATGAAGTAGGTAGTATTGTCTTCACTTCACAGGTGATGTATTGGAGGCACAGAGAGGTTCAGTAACCGCCCTGAGGTCACACAGCAGTAAGTAGCAGAGCTGAGATTGGAACCCCATCAGACTAGCTCCTAAACATGATGCTGTATTGCCTCTGGCCAGCAGCCTATTCTATAATGGGGAAACTGAGGCACAGAGAACTTAAGTGACATGTCCAGAGACACCCAGCTGGTGAATGGTGGAACCATTCATTCTGCTGGAGGGAGCGTGCATTTCAGGGTAAGGGGGAGAGAGACAGGCACTCTCCTGTCTGCCCCAGGCTGACCACCCCTTCCCGCAGGGGGCGTGTGCATCGCCCAGTCGGTGAAGATACCGCGGGAGCCCAAGCCGGGGGAGTTTGACAAGATCATCCGGCGCCTCCTGGAGACCTCGAATGCCAGGGGAGTCATCATCTTTGCCAATGAGGATGACATCAGGTGAGGCTGAGGGTGGCGGGGACCCCTGTGGGGACCTTCCCAGACCAGTCTGACCCAGTCTGGGTTCCAGAGGGGGTGGGTGGGCGAGTGAGTGTGGGGCTGGGCCATCCCTCAGGCAGGGCCACAGGCTGGTGCTGATGGGCACCTCTGCCCTCCCCCGCCATGTCCTGCATCCATTCCTCCAACCAGGGATGGGAAGCAGGTACTTTAATGGAGGGGCCAGGACCGTGGGCAGGAGGTCAGAGCACCTAGGTTCTAGTTCCGCTCTCTCTCCTGCTAGCTCTGTGACCTCAGGCAAGTTTTTCAACCACTCTGGACCTCTTTTCTGCTTAAAAAAGGGAGCTAATGATACCTGCCTGATAGCGTTTGAAAACTGAGTGCCGGGGTAGCATAAAGGGCTTAGAGCAGCCTGGCACGCAGCGGGCGCCTGGTGCTCCATGGCCACCTCTCAGCGCCTCCCCGCCTTCTTTCTCTGGTGCACTCAGAGGAGCAGGAGGAGGCCCAGGCTGTGGGTCTAGTCCTGGCTTGGGGACACACTCACTGTGGGCAGGATCATCCCCACCCTCGGCCTCAGTTTCTGCATCTGGAGAATGGGAGCAGGTGGATTCCACATGCCGGACCACGTGGTCCACAAACCTTGGTCCAGCCCACCACCCTGCACGTCTGCCTCCGGGGCCTGGGGCACAAGTCTGAAACTCAGGGCCTTTAGAAGATGACCCCTGGACCCCCTGCTGATGCACGTCCCTCCTTCCTGCCTTTTCCTTTGTTACCACCTTGCAGAGACTGGATGTCAGGGCCAAGGTGGGCCAGGCCTCTGATTCCCTAGTCTGGGGGGACACTGTCCCTGCTCAGAGTCTGGTGAGGCAGGCACGGCCCTGCATTTGCAGAGGAGGGTGAGACAGCAGGCGTGGCCCTCCCCAGCCTCACCCTTAGGTGCCCAAGCTGCCAGAGCCGCTGTGCCCTCAGGTCTTGCCTGCCCACCCAGTGCGCCTGGCCACTCCCTCCTCACACCCATCGTCCCAGCTCCCTCCGCATTGCTAACGAACGTCTTCTCTGGGTCTCATCTTTTCCGATGATGAAGAGCCCATCCTGGACTCCTGAATTACAGGAAAACAGATTTCTCCCCAGGAGACATTGCCGGGGCCCTTCAGGGATGGAGGGGGGAGTTCTGGAACATCATCAAGGCCTCAAAAGCCTAAGGACCAGCTCCAGTGGAGATCACTCAGGCGGCCCAGGCCAGGGCATCCTCCGAGTCCGCCTGACATCTCCGAGCTGAGCACAGAGGTTGCTCCTGGCCTTGCTCACAGCTTGTGTGTAGGTTCCTTGATCGTGGCCCTGGAGGTTCCTATTCCCCATAGGTCAGCCAGTTCTGGCAGGGGTGGCGTGGGGGCCTGGGGACAGAGGAGGGGGTGGGACCCCTTCTGAGCTCCTTTTCCTCATGTCAGTCACCAGTCCCTACACTCCTGCCTCCCGCTCCCACCCCGCAGCCCAGCATGAGTCAGGTCTGGCACCCCACCCAGATGTGCCCCCACTCCAGGGGGGCACGTCTCGGCTCAGGTGGACCCTCAGGTGGGAGAGACGGATGAAGGCCCCTGGGGGGAGGGGGAGGGGCCTGGCTGACTCAAGTGGCCCTAGGAAGTGTGATGGGAGGTGGGGGCATTTATGGAAAATCCGCATGCATTTCTGGAAGCAAACAGAAGTGAAAATAAACCCAGGCGACTTTGCAGGGACGGAGGCCTGGTCGTTTCCGGTGTCGGGATGCTGGCGGGTATTGATGGGGCTGTGGGTGTGGGCTCCGAGAGCGGCCGCTCCTGTGGTGAGTGTGCCCTGTGTGGGGGAGGGGGGCGGCAGCAGCAGGTGTGGGGGTCTGGATGTGCTGAGAGAGGAGATTGGAGGAGGGACGGTGTGGGATCTGGGGCCTGGAAGCAGGTTTCTCCCTGGCCACCCAAGGCTGTCTCCCAGTGGGTCAGCTTCTGTGCAGGCCCCGCCCCCAGCCCGAGCCCTGGAGTTGTGTCCTGGCTCTCACCCGCAGGAGGGGTCTGGCCAGTTTTTAGTATTTTGGCCTCTCACTTGCTACGTGATCCTGAACAAGCCCTTCCAGTGGAAGGAGCAGAGTGGGGGAACTTCCCCCAGCCCTCCCTGTTTTCCTTCTTCTATTGGTAGCAGATGTCTTTGAGGGCCACTTAGTTTCTGCATGTTTTAAATACTGGCTGAGCACCTCTGGGGTCTCAGCCCTGTGCTGGGCCTCGGGGCCCCTGGTTTAATGAAGACCACTGTCGTGGTGGGGCAGCTCTTTGCAGAACCTGGCCTTCGGCACAGAAGGAAGTGGGGTGGGAGGGCACCGCTGACGGGGAAGCAGCAAGTGCAGAGAGGCGGGTGCGTGCACATGTGCACATGCAGATCTGAGAAGGGGTCAGGTGGTGTGGGCGTGGGTTTAGGGTGAGCGTGGCTTGACCCTGAGAAGACAAGGGTTGGACAGATGTAGTTCTGGGAGCCTGGGTCAGACACGAGGCAGGTGTAGAGCTAGGGAAACAGGTGTGGTTTTTGCAGGGATAGCTGTGGCTCTAGGAGATAGGAGTGGGACTGGGGGAGCACATGCAGGGACTGTAGTCAGGTGTGAGCCTTGGGGACAGACATGGGTTAGGGGTACATGTGTGGTATGGCTAAGAGGGGCACCTGTGGGCCTGTGGGCAGGTGTGGTCAGGGACAGAGGGAACCATGGACCTTGGGGGATGAGGTGGGCCCTGGCTCATGTGGGCTTAGCAGTGGGGGACCCAGGCATGCCTGGGAGACATCAAGGGGACATGCCTGTGGGCTATGAGGGGAACTGGTGTGTGCCTGGGAGGTCAGCCGATGGCCCATGACCAGGTTCGGCCAGAATGGGGGCAGTTGCACGGACAGACACGGACGGGCCGAGCTACTGTGTGTTCCCACAGGCGTGTGCTGGAGGCAGCACGGAAGGCCAACCAGACGGGCCACTTCTTCTGGATGGGCTCGGACAGCTGGGGCTCCAAGATCGCACCTGTGCTGCACCTGGAGGAGGTGGCCGAGGGCGCTGTCACTATCCTCCCGAAGAGGATGTCCGTGCGAGGTAGGCCCGGCCGGCCCTGATGGTGCGTCTGCTGCTCGCACCACCACCACCACTGTCCGCATCGTCCCCACCTGCTCCTCGGCATCACCCCCGCCCTACTCCCTTCCTCTCCCACTCCTCTTCTCACACCCCGTCTGCCTTCTTCCTTGGCCTGTAGCCTCTTCGTGCTAACATACAGGGCTGGCTTTCTGGCCACACTCAAGCCAGGAGGATGCAAATCCAGATTCAGGACTTTTCTCCCTCCCTTCTCAGATATTTTTGAGTGTGGGAGACATGTGGCACATCCAGGAGGCTCCCCTTCCTCCCCATAATGCCTCCTCCATGTGGAACAAGGCCCTTGGCCTGCCTGGAGGGGGCCCTCTGCTAGAAGGGGCCGGGAGCTGCCAGCAGGCCACGAGAAGGGGGTGCTGGGTGGAGCAGGGAGCTCCCTACAGAACCTGCTCGGGCCAGCAGGCCTGCCCTGCTTAGCACGCCTTCCTCTTGGGACAGAACCCACAGTCGCCCTACACAGGAACAGACTGCTCTGGCTAGAACCTTGCTGTGGGATGTGACATTCCTATTAATGGCCCAATTTGCCAGGGACCTCACTGTCCCTGCCCCAGGAGAGGCAGTTTCCTGGGCCTTCTCCTCTGCTCTCAGTCCATTTGATGGAAAAGCCAGCAGACATCTGTCTCCAACAAACTTTGCAAGAGACGGAGGCCTGCGCAGGGGAGGGACTTGGTCAAGGCCACAGGGCAGTGTCCCCTGTTTACACGGAGGCGAAGGGAGCACTGGCAGCCGCTTCCTCCCAGTGCTCTCCGCCTCAGGCCGCAGCGCGCAGATAACAGCAGTCATGGCTGTCGGCTGTTGGCTGTGGGCACCTGCAAGTGCCAGGCCCCTCACAGGCATCCGGGTTAGTTTCCCCAGCAACCACACGAGACCCTTTAATCCACAGTCACTGGGTGAATACATGGAATCTTAGAGAGATAAGTGGCCTAGTGGCTATTGAACTCAGTACTGGCCTGATAAGTCCCCTTTCTCTCTGGACATAAGAGAAGCCTTTAGAGCCGTGGTTCTCACGTGAGGGTGTTATCTGACCCTGAAGGGACACTTGGCAATTTTTGGAGACACTTTTGCATGTCACAGTTGGGAGCGATGCAGCTGGCGTCTGGCCGGTAGAGGCCAGGGGTGAAGTTCAACATCCTGCAATGCGCAGGGCAGCACCCCTCCCCCACAAAGCATGATCAGGCCTGAAGTGCCAAGGCTGGGCAGCTGCCGGTGCCCACCAGTGCCAGCACTCCTCCTGCTGCTCTGACAGAGACTCACGGGGCCTCCGCTTGGACCCTGCCTTGGGCAGGAGGCTCACCATGGAGTTTTCAGGCCTCTGGGCCATCCCCAGCAGCTGAGTCAACTGTGCACATCACAGGGGACAGTCACAGATGTAGCAGCGGCACTGGGTGGAGGGAGGGGGCGTTACTTACCCGCCGGCCTGCCCGCCCTGCGACAGGGTTTCCTGGGCTCAGAGCAGAGCTGGTGAGTCCCAGGAGCACAGAGAGGAGGCGGCTGCATCTGTCGGTGATGGGCTCCAGCTCCTGGGCTTGCCGTGTAACCTGGGTCATCTCCTACCCTCTCGGGTTCGGGCTCCTTTCAGGACCAGAGAGCTCAGGTGCTTCTAGGTTTGGGGACCCCCACCCCCACCCCAGCCTCTCTGTGCTCCAGTCCCAGGACCTGCAGGTAGCTTCTTCTCAAAGAAACCCGATGTTAGCATTTTGGTAGTAAAAAGACGGCAGAAACATCCGCATCGCACTTCTCTCACATTAAGGCCGTAGTTGTGAGATTGCACATGCCTCCCCTGGGGCCTCATACAGCTCTTTTCATTTAGAATGAAATGAAATGCTCCCTGTTTTGTTTTTCCACTGGGCCCTGGATCAGAGGATGTGCTCTTCCCTTCCTCCCTCCCTCCACCTGAGGCATCTGTAAGCCTTGGGGGGGGGGGATACCGGAAGGGGTGGGGGCAGGGGGAGGAGGGGGTCCTGAGGCCCTGACCTCCCGGTTCCCGCCAGGCTTTGACCGCTACTTCTCCAGCCGCACGCTGGACAACAACCGGCGCAACATCTGGTTCGCCGAGTTCTGGGAAGACAACTTCCACTGCAAGCTGAGCCGCCATGCGCTCAAGAAGGGCAGCCACGTCAAGAAGTGCACCAGTGAGTATACTCGAGCGCTGGGCAGGACCCGTCCAGCCCAGGGACACGGCCTTTGGGGCCGGGCCAGGGCGGGGACGGTAGGGTGGGGCTGTGGGGGAGAAAGGCTGCAAGTGCTGAAAAGGTGGGAAATACTGCAGGGGCCGGAGTCTCCAGGGTCCAGGCAACCAGGTGGGCAGATGGGCTGGCGCCTGAGGGTGGAGTAGGGGGCTCAAGGGGGTGGGGCCTGAGGGGAGGGGCAGGCCGGGCCAGTTTGGTGTTTGACTTCAGAAGCCTTGAGGTCTCAGGGTGGTAGAAGCCTCTGTGGTCTGTGGGAGCACAGGCCACCGGGGACGCTGCTGAGCCGGGGGGAAGGCGGAGGGGCCTTCGGGCACGTGGCCACCTCGGGTTCATCTGGGCCCGCAAAACTGAACAGACCCAGCTGCCTGTGTCGAGTCCTGATGCTCACAGGTCTGAGCACTTCACCGAAACCGTCTGTAAGGCCTCTGATGCCCGCAGCCACTCAGCCAACACCAGTCGGACTTCCAGACACGCCTGGCCCTGCTCTCAGCAAGGTGGACAGAGCAGAGAATGAGAGTCACAAATCTCTCAGAGTTTTTAACCTAGAGGGGAGACGGACAATAAACAAGACCAGTGTGTAAGTGTACATTACGTCAAAGGGAAATGTGCAGTAGAAACGAAACGGGGAGGAAAGAGAGTATAGTGTTTGAGCAGAGCCCTGAAAGGGCAGGGGATGAGCTGCAGGAGGACGGGGCAATGCGTCCATTTTACAGATGGGAAAACAGGCTCAGAGAAGGTAAGTAAAGAGACCAAGTGTCACCGATGGAAGGTGGCACAGCAGGATCTGAATCCAGTCTGAGGTCCAGGCCCTTGGCCCCCTAGATTCGGATGTGGGTCCTCGTGTGCTCTTGGTCGGGCAGCTCTGCAGCGGGACCTGGCCTCAGTGGCGTGGGGTGTTTCTGGGTGCCCCCCAGCCTGAGCGGTGCCTGTTCCAGGATTGTGGCCTCCCTCTTATGTCCTCCTGGACTGACCGGTGCAGCTGGGGCAGAGGGCCACACGGTCGGGGGGACACTGAACAGCCCGCAGGGACGCGCTGCATGAAGTGTTGGCCGTGGGGTGGCGCCCTAGTGCCGGGGAGGTAAGGAGCACCCGGCTCTCCCGTGGTCAGGGCTTGCCGGGAACCGTGGCCACTTAGGACTGTGGGTATCCCCTGGGGGCCCAGGTAGGTCCCTCTGCGGGGGTAGATGGCAGAGTGTGTGCTTACACACTTGAGTGTTTGCGATTGTGTGTGTGCGAGTTGGCATGTCTAAGGGAGAAGAGGGTGAGTGAGCGTGTTTGTGCTCCTAGGTGAGCTAATAACACAAACCCCACTCTCTGCTGCGCGTCTGTGTTCTGGACGCTGAAGGCACCAGTCGTTTCACCCGCACAGCAACTCTGAGGGCGGCCGTGACCCCAGGTCACGGAGGCGGGTGTGGGGAGTCAGCGGGCCGAGCGCCTCGTCCAGAGCTGCCCGGCAGTGCCTCCCTCAGACCCTGGTGACAGCAGAGGGGCCAGAAGCCCAACGTGTGTGGGTGTGGGGCGCGCCCTCGTGACTGGGGTGAGCGTGCACCCTGTTCATGCTCTTTTCTGGGGGGGGGGCAGTGCAATTGTCGAGAGTGTCCCAGTGTAGTCTCAGAAGTGCCCACGTGGGGATGGAGAACTGCATGGCCGCCCTGAGTACGGCCATCACATGTGGCTTGGGGCCGGAGACGGGCGGGACCGGAGTGGGGCACGATGGGCAACTGCTCCAGCCCACCAAGGGCAGGGGGCTTTCTGGAGTCACCTCTTGGCCTGGGAGAGGCAGGCAGGAAGGCCTTGGTCCATCCATGGAGGTCTGTCCAGACTCCATCCTCAGATCAGCATCCAAGAGCATCTCCTCACTGGGCTGGTGGGCCGGGGAGAGAGACTCCTAGAGCAGCCCTCGGGGCAGGGGCACTTTTTTAAAGCTCTCCAGGTGGTTTTATGTATGTTTAGGCCTGGGAGCCTTGAGTGGGAGCAGTGCTTCCCCAGCCTTGTTCACACCGGATCACCTGGGGACCTTTCAAAGCCACGGATGCCTGACTCCCACCCGCCGACATTCTGATCGAACGGGTACTGGGTGCAAGCCGGGTGTCAGGGTTTTCAAGAAGTGCCCCAGTGGTGCTACTGTGCAGCAAGCACGGGAGGCTCAGAGGGAGAGGTGGGTGGTGGGAGGGAGGACAGCACGTACCCCAGGCAGGAGGGGCAGCGTGAGCAAAGGGGCAGAAGCTAGCATGAACATGGGGGTGTGGGGAGGAGTAGAAGGACCACACCCAGCAGCTGACCTGGATCCTTATCGTTGCATCCAAAGTCCCAGCAGAGCCTGGTGAGAGTTCTTGTGTGACCCCAAGTCAGGTGCAGTGAGCCCGTCCGTCTCTGGGCGAGGCGAGGAGGGAGGAGCTGCTGGGAGTGTTTGTGGGGCCCGAGACACACCTTGGGAGAGGGCCAGGCAGCTGTGGCTGCCCTTGGCCCTGCCCTGGCTTGAGCTGGTCCCTGGGAAACTGTCTTTGGACGGGAGGGCTGGGATGACGCCCATGGGGCACTGGCTCTGGACTGGGCACCTGGGAGGGAGGGGCCTGGGAAGGACTCACCCCCAGGTCTGGCCTGGCTCTGCCTTCTCCCTGCTGTGTGACCTTGGACAACTTCTTTAACCTCTCTGAGTCTCAGAAGTTTGTCTGTAGAACAAGGAAGATAATACTCGTCCCAGTGGGTTGTTGTGAGTGTTGGAGATAAAGCGTGTGAAGAGGCTGGTTGAATAATGAAGCCCGTGAGAGGTGCTGATGAAAAGCTTGTCGTTGTTGATATACAGAGCTAGTGAGAGGGATGGGATTTATAGGCTGTCGGGCAGTTCCGCAGCCCAAGTCCGTTGGTACGGCTGTGGCAGCTGTCGCAACCTGGACCCTGAGGTGGGTGGTGTAGGCGGTCACAGGTGTGGCGCCCAGTCACGGAAGAGGCGACTGGGGCAGGTTTTCTAACATCAGAGCGCTGGAGAACTGGGGTCCCCCCAGGCCACTCCTCTGGGCCCCCTCTCTCTTGCCCTCAGCCCGCTCCATGTACTCCACCTCCCACGACTCTGTGTCCAGAGCCTGGCCTCCCTCTCACCCCCTCCAGGACGCCTGCCCCTCCGCACTGCCGGCCCTGGATCGGCCCACTGCGGTCCGTGCCCACCCACAGGCCTTGCCTGCCCTGCCGAAGGTCTCCCGGTGAGCAAATGACAGCACCCTGTCAATGATGGGCCTGTGGCCTTCCGAGAGGACTAGGGACCCTCGTACCCTGGGGTGTTTTACTTGGGAAGATTGGATCCATCCTTCAAGTCTGTCTTCAGTTGAATTTCCTCCGAGACAAAGATTTGAGAGCAAGCAGTTTATTCGGGAGGGGCTCCCAGGAAGCACCGGTGGGGGAGGGAAGGCGGCCACGAAGGGTGCGGTACTAAGCAGGCTCCCGCTGACCAGCAGGGGCTTTACTCCCCTGGGGCTCTGGGGACAGAGGGGCGTGCTTTTCAGCCGTCCCACTGGACGTGCTCCGGAGCCGAGGAGTGTAGACACCACTGCCCATCAATCACTGGCAGCTCTCCTGGAGAGCGGCAATTCCTCAGCACACCAACCTGCTGCCTGCCGGGGCAGTGAGGGCTTCTGTGACCACAGAAGTTCTCAGATGAGTGGCCGATGCTGGCAGTCGGAGATGGGGCCCGTGTGTCTCAAAGTGGTCAGGAGGAGGGCCATGGGTGGGCACCCGTTCTTTCTCAAACATATAGCTATGAGGGTCCCCCAGACTTGGGTGGGGTCCTAGTGCTGCCACTTCCGAGCCACGTGGCCTTGGGAAGGTCACTTCACCCCTGGGGGCCTCAGTTTCCTCGTCCCCTCTCCCCACCCCAGCCCTGCCCCCAGCAGAGCTGCCTCCCTCGGGGTTCCTGGGAGAAGAGCCGGAGGTGACCTGCAGGAAGCACTTGCAGGTGCTGCACAGACCACCCTCACCTCAGTGAGATTGGGGTCATGGAGCAGGCATCTCTGCAGCTGCCACGGCCTGTGGGGGGCTGGCACCTGCTCCCTCCCCCTGTGCTGGCCTCCTCCCTGGGAGCTCATAGAGCAGGGTTTGGGAATAAAAGCTGTAAACAGGGCAGATGTGGCATCTGTCTTTTTGACAGCACTGCCAGCCAGGTGATGGCTGAGCGGAGGAAGGCCCGGTTTATGAGGAAATAGGAGAAATTTACTGCTTGCTGCTCCCGGGGGCCAGGAGCTCTGAGAGGGAGGGCAGCTGCGTGGCAGCTGGGGATGTGTGGGAGGGTGTCGCTCACCCAGCCTGTGCCGATAGCAACCGCAGCAGCATCAGCAGCTAATATTTGTATGGCATTTATGACTTGCAAGCTCTGTTCTTGTGCTTTGCAGTTAATCCTCACAGCAACCCATTTTACAGATGGGAAAATTGAGGAATAGAGAAGTTAAAGACTTGCCCATGGGCACAGGGCACTAAGTAGCAGAGCCGAGACTCAAACCCAGGCTGTCTGGCTCCAGCAATGTTTTGCCTTGGGCCAGCTGATGTCCTACCCCCTGGGCCCTCGTGGCTATTCCAGCCTGGCTTTGAAGGACCTTCTCACCTCCACATTCCCAAAGGAACCCCAGGAATCCTCCTTCCTGAGGAAAGGAGGGAACACCACCATTCAGAACTGCCTGCTGTGTGCCAGACCGTGCTGTGCATTAGAGGAACTCACGTTCACCCCGGCCATCAGCCGGGTAGTGCCCAAAGGGGCCCTGGGCCCAGACCCTCATTGCTGCTGTTCATGTCAGTTTTCATCCTGGGGTCAATTCTTGGGGATCCGCAAGAACTGTTTTTCTTCGGAGGGCCCGTGGCCAGCGGAGGGCTGCGGAGCCCTGGGCTGCTCGACCACATTGCTCAGAGCTAGAAGGAGGACATTCGAGAGTCAGGAACCCGCTGCTGCTGGGCACGTC